CGCTCATCTCACTCTAGAGGCCGGGAGCCAGCGCTGTCTGCAGACACTTCCAGGTCACGTGGCCAGCGTGACGAAGCTGCTCCGGCGAACCGGCACCAGAGCAGCACACGGAAATGCCGTTTACCTTCCCGCTAGTAAGCGGTCCCTATTTATCTACTTGCACCCGGGAGTGCTTTCGAACTGCTAGGTCGGCAGGCGCTGGGACCGAGCAACGGGAGCGCACCCCGCCGCGGGGATTCGAACCGCCGACCATGCGATCGGCAAGTCCTAGGCGCTGAGGTTTTACCCACAGTGCCACCCGCGTCCCTATTTATTTATATACTGCTTTTTAAACCAAAGTGTCCCCCAAAGAGATTAAACACACATGCAAACGCAAACAAATGATTCTATGAAAAACACACACACACACACACGTACAATAAAATGCCGTATATCAATTTGATCTTTTATTGTGTTTTTAATATTTTGTTGGGAGCCACCCAGAGTGCCTGGGGCAACCTAGTCAGGTGTGTGGCATATAAATAATGAAATTATTATTCTTATTACTCAGCAAGCAAAACAGTGTAAGACAGCAACATCACAACACAGGAGGATTAAACAGTGCTCTCCCTAAACCTACATAACTAACACATAGGGGCTAGAAACTTGAATAGGCAATAATAAATAGTAAAAGAAGCCTAACCCACTTAGAAGAATTAAGGGTTCAGGGTGAACAAGTAAACAATGGAAATAATGGTAAAAAAGGAAATGCTTCCAAATATCAATAGCTGTCAAGTACAATCCTTCAAAAGCTTAGGACAAAAAAAAAAGACAACAAAAAAAGGCTTTGCTTCTTTAGAATGACCAAATGAGCCCTTACACAATGATTCTCTCCAATGCCTGCTGGTTGGTTTCCATGTTTGAAAGAAGAAATTGAAAGTTGCTCAGTTGCTCTACTACTACACCTGAAGCTAAGAGCCAAAGGTGTGTGCACCTTAAATGGTGTGTGCTTGTGTTCAAAGGGAAAACCATTTCCAAAGACATTTAAAAAAACCAAAAAACAGTACTGTATATGATTCGCTTTAGGACATTAAACATGAAAAGTGGCTGGCCCATATTCTCCAAAAAAGTAAGCAAAATTTTTAACTCAGGAGACTCAGATGGTTTATGCAGTCATAAAGTCACCAAAAAATGTAGCTATTTGTGAAGTGCTTAACAGATTTGACTGATTTTCTGGAAGACCAGAAAACCAAATGCAACAAGATGAACATGGGAGGGGAGAAGAGGGTATTTTATTGTAATGTGAGGTGTATATTCTCTACATGTGGCAAGCAGGGGTTTTCTAGCCTTTATTAGAAAGACTTGGCTTAACTAATATTGAAAACCTATAGTAGGGGAATGTGCTTTTTCTCCCCTCAGCCCAGCCACCCCTAGGAAGAGTTTACAATTTTCCTGCATTAATGATTACCTGAACTTCCAAACATTGCTGAACTACCTCGAACTTGTTCTTTCACTGTGTAGCTATAGCTTCAATTATATTGGGTAATTGTACCTACTTTCCTGAGAGCGATCTGTGTGCTGCTTTAATTAAAACAAACAGTGTTTCTCTCATTATTAGAAATGAAACAACAAGACTAAATTAACCCAACCCAGATTACACACCAAACAGACTGCAACATAACATTTCAAATGGATTTTGACATATTTTCCCACAGATCAAGTTCAACAAGTTGAACAGCTTCTGCAATTGGAAAGACACATCTGCATCGCCCTGTTGAGATACCTGAAAGCAAAAAACCACCCCACATCCTAAGTGAAAACTTCTAGTCTACCTTAGAGCCTACAGCCTAGGTGATCACCACCTTCAAAGCAAAATTGTATTTTTCACTGTGATTGTTGGCTCCTGGGTTTGTATACTGAATATAGTGGGAGATGGGGAGATACAGGTAAGTCAGCACTTCACTCAAGACAGGCCACAGGCATGTGGACCAACTGGATGAAACACAATTCCGCACAGATTCAGACATTATTCACTTGCACCAGTGTATAAAGTCCCTTCCTCTCCTTTCTTCCCTTTGCTCCAGAGGTTTGGGGAACCCCAAGAAGCAGATTTGAAGAACGCAAGAGAGGAAAGAGGGAGAGCGTGCAAAATCCTCGCACCACTGGAACACTCGCCGTAACACTACATGGAATTCTATCCTAAACTTCATGAGACTTAATGTTTCTATGCATGTGTGTCAAGTTGGGGAAGTTTACATGTGATGGCTTTCTCATTTTATATTCACAAGGGGAGGTGTATGTGTGAAGCAATTGCCGCTTTAAAGATTCAAAAGTTGCTATGTCACAGAAAAATGCCTGAAACCTACCTAGCAAGTTCTAGAGTTTTTTTCTTATGAACACTTAGTCCAACCCTATACTCAATAGGATCAAGGTAAAGCAAAACAAAACAAAAAAGTCACAAAATATAACTGTCTTCCTTCTGGGTTTGAACCCCCATTAGATTAACAGAACGGTAAAATTGACCCAAGGCTCCTCAGTATTATTATAGTTTATCATTAATAATTAGACAAAAGCCGTAGTGCTTCTAAAGAAGAAGCAGGGAATTAAAGGATGCTTTGGAAAGTGTCCAGGAATGCGTTTTCTCCAAGTATCCTAGTATTTCAAGATTGTCCCATGAAAGTCGGATGCGGCTGATAAATTATTATTCAGCAACCTACAATTTCCCCTTCTCTCACACATAACTCACAATACATCAGAGGCTAAAAATAAACGGCTCCACACACTTAAGAGCCACTTGTAAGTGAGCAGCCCTGATCCTGTTTACTTTGTTGTCACAAAACTAGGGCAATCTTGCTCTCAATTAACCACTTGGTGTGTGCAGACACCAAGCTACCAGGAGGAACGAAATGCCAAGTTCTAACTTTCACTGCTTTGCCATCCTTTCATTTCTTGATCAAAGACTCATGTGAGCACCACTAATTTGCTAAGAAATTAAACATGAAAGGGGAACGCAATTCTGCAACTCACTGAAGAACACTGTGGGCAGTTAATGATTAATTAGCATTATAATACGTGACAGGCTGGTTTCACAGAAGCAGCTTGTTTTGATTCTGAATTTGTTCAGTAGAGGAAATCTTTAAGGATGATGCCAGAACTCCTGTGGCAAGCAGTGCCAGTAAGTTACCCTCAGGTTTGGCAGAGCTGCCACATGGATCATGTAGTTAAAGTCTGGCCAAGGTAGATGCTTTACAGACAACTCCAAATCTTGTAAGGTTTGTCCACTGACCCTGGGAGGACTCAGGATAGAGCCTCTAAAATGAACACATCCTTGACTTACAAGTTGCAGAAACAAAAACAAAACAAACCCAATTCAGAAGTACCATTTCGGAGGATGGGTTCTGTATGCTGTAAACAACAAAGCACAAGGATTCTACAGGTTTTGTTTCTAGGTGAAAGGTTGAAAGCTTAAGGTAGGCCTTGAATGATGACAAAATTACGCTAATGGATGCTTTTCATGAATGATATGGGACACAATGCACTAAAGACAGCAGCTTATAAGAAGAATCAGGAGAGTCCTTTTTATTCAAAGAACTGCTTTAGTATCCCCAAACTTCAGCAGTTCACAAGTTTTATATGCTAAATAACTGAAGGCAGGAGGAACATAAAATGTCCACAGTCAGATCAATAGTCCACTGAGCCTTGTAACCTCTCTCTTAGGCTCACAGGAAAACACTAGCCAATGATCTTCATAGCTTCAAAAGCTAAAGGGAAAGATCACCTAGATCAATTACTTCGTGCTTGCCCCATTGCTGCTCTTCCCATTTTCTAGAAGTGCTGCTGGAGACAAATTCATAGTCTAGAATGGATCATTGCTCTCACACAATATGGAAGTTTTATGTTCCTGTCTTCAGCCAGGTGTCACATCATGCAAAGCTTAACTACTGTAGTTGGGTAGCTACAGAATCTACTGAGACAGGAAAGCTGAATTCTCTACTGTTCCTTGGGTAACCATTTTTCAAATATGATTTCTTGCCTTGCAATGTAAAAATAAACAGAGCTTATCCTGTTGGCCTGCAGAAAAGACAAAGAGCAGAACAATAGTCTCACTCTTCTATATGTAACTCTCCTCTATTGCTAGAGCTGGCATTTATATTCAACAAGCCAGCTTCAGTAGAGAAAAAGGACAGAAATAACAAAAAAATGAGGAAAATCCACATAAGTCCTTCTACAGTGTAATAGTCATGCTTCCTGAAGAACCATATCCAAGAAGTCATTATTCTGCAGGGGATTATGAAAAGGGGATTATCTAAATGACTGATTATTTGGTAATTTTGACTGTTATTTGAACCTATCTTCAGGGCTCTTGAGTTCCAGTAGAACCCTATGGCCAAGCTAAAGAGTCATCTCAGTACGCAGCTACCATTAGGAAAAGTAAATAATCATGCAACATGTGGGCACCCTTGCCACTGAACTGAGATGTATAACCATTTTAACTTGGCTCTGAAGTTTTTACTTACTTGCCCTAAAATAATGGTAAGGACTGTGCAACCTGAACCTTCACACAGCTCTGAAACGCAACAGTGTTTGATTAACATATTTATTTACATGTTGATTTTTCTCACGACATTTGGTTTCACTGGGTTAAGAAACAGAACTGTCCCAATCTTCCAAGCCTTACTCATGTGAGTTGCTTTTAAGGCCTATTCTAATGAGTAGGAGGATGAATGATTAATAAGACAGCTCCTCTCTTACCGCAACAGCATGCAATGCCTTACTCAAGATGGGCTTACCAATAGTTATATTAGTGCAATATTTCAACATGCAACATTACTCCATCACAAATACTGAAGGATCAAGGGTGTTACAGCCTTTGAAGTGAAGTTGCTTGGGGCCAGGATCTGTTTGACAAAGAACACATTCTTTGTGCTACTCTCTGTACAGCAGAACAAACAGGAGTGAATCTGAATGAAAGGTGTCTTATTTATTTACACACAAGAAATGCTCCCCTTTGCAGTGCTCACCTTGGTGGGGTGGATGGCTTCCAGTATCTGCAGAAAAGGTACTGCCCATCAGCGTTGACCAAATGAGGAAGGTCCCGATATGGGACATTCTGGGGAGTCTTCCGTGGGGAACTTTCCTCTGGCATTCTAGAAGAGTGACCTACAAGGTGTGGAAAGAGGAAATACACACTTTTAAGCATAATTGCTGGAAAGAGTCTGCATGCAAAGGAATCCATGAATACCATACAAGGAAGAGAGTAATCCACAGATCAACTTGCACTATCCAAGTAAACCTCTTCCACTTTCCAAAGATGCACAAACCTAGGCTGGATTTCTTCTGCTCCATGCAACCGCTCTGCAGATTGAAGACTCACATTTTCTTTTTGCAGAAAGAAAATGCTCAAAGGGTAGAAAGGAGAAAGAGCACCCAACCACACTGCCTCATTATGGCTTGTAGTCCCCCCCCCCACTCCTCATCTCCCATCTGTGTTTATTTTCCATCAGTTTAGGGAAGCGGATCTTACACACACAAAAAAGATTTTAGCTGCAATCAAGTGCAAATTGTGAAGCTCCTGTATGGATACAAGAAGCCAGCTGCATAAAAGATTCATCATCTCTCTTTTTTTAAAAAAACAACACACATATCTCCAAAGAACGGCACAAGAGACACTGTAATGAGGTGACTGACACTGCCTTGTTGCTATGATCCTTTCTGACATGTGAGGGAAGGGAGGGTAAAAGAAAACCCCATACAGAACGTCGTAACAAACCTGATTTCATCCTGTGCACGGTTTGCCGGCATTGCAAGTCAAATGCAATCAAGGAGAGCGCTCTGCACGTCGCCGAGGAGCCGCAGGAACACCCCGCCTAACACCCAGCACCCCGCTAGTGGCTAGATCAATTCTTCACCGTTGCAAACGGCAGCTAACTGAGCCGCTACCAGCAGCAATGCTCACTTCCCACCCCTCCTTTGCAAGCTCCTGTGCTCTACAGGGGCTGGGCTGCCTGCGATCGGTTCTCGCTCTAGCTCTTCCCCCTCCCGCGCTCCTCTCTGCAAGCGCTCTCTCGCAGGAGGAAACTGGTCTTAATCAATTTACCACTTCTTGCTAATTTCAACACTCCCGCACCCCGCGCCGTTCTTCTTAAGCAAATCGCGCGTGTGGGCTGGTGGGAGGAAGAAGGTGGGTGATAAAGTGTAGCCGGGGTGGGGGAGGAAGCAAGCAAGCAACAGTCCGCTTCCCAGAAGCTGCTTTCTCTCTCGCTACTCGCACACGCGCTCGTACACAAACATCAAAGGCACCTTGAACATTCAGCCATGGACCGGTTAAACTGAAAGTTCCCAGGCGGGGCCGGCTGCAGGTTGCTTTCAAACTTTGCTGCCAATACGAGGTCAAGGGAAGAGATGGAAGGGGGAGGAGAGAGATGTCTTTACTGCTGCGACCCCGGTTGGAAAATACCTGGGGTCCCTTCCTATTCCTTTCCGCAAGATCTGCTTCCAAACACCCGGGTATTAAACCCACCGGGTTACTGCATTTGAAAAGCAAGCAACCTTCCCCCCGACCGCAAGCCCTCTGCTTGTGTTTTAGGGCTTTAGGAAAGGCAACGGGGAGACCCGCTTTCTAAATAAGCCCGTGTTGCGGAGCGGCGGCAGCGAGCAAGGAGCAGATTCGGATCCAAGCAGGCGCCCGCCGCGAGAGGACGCGATCCGCAACTCCGCCGAGGCGCGCGCGTTGCCTTTCCCGGCGGCGGCGGCGGTGGAGGCGGGGATTGTGGCGGGCGGGCGGGCGAGAGGAGAGGGCTTCGTTACCAGGTGCCGAGGCGCGCCGGGCTGCTTGCCGGGGATGGTGCCAGGCGCGGAGCCGCTCGCTCCGTTCGCAGGCAGGTAGACCTTACAAAGCGGCCGAGGCGCCCGAGGGGTTTATTCTAAGGCCGAGGAAATAAACGCCTTCCCTTTCTGGTAGGGCAGGCGGGCGCACAGGAGGAGGAGGAGCGGCGGCGGCGGCAGAAGGAGCTCTTCCCCACCTCCCCCGCGCCTTGCTGCGAGAGATCTTCCCACTGGTGGCCACGCGCGGAGACCTGGCTTGCTGGCCACGCCTGGGGCCGGGTGACTCCCCTGGGGCGCCTGGGCGGAGCCCTTCTTCCTCCTCCTCCCCCGCGCCGAACCCGGAATCTTAGGGCATCGCCTTGTTGGGTGTCAAGGAGGGCAGCGCGGTGTTATTCCTCCTTGGTGGCGCCTCTCGAGGAGGAACTAAGGAGGCCTCCGCATACCTGCCAAGCACCTCCGCCCGAGGGGTAAAGCTGCCAGTGGGCAGGTGGTGCCACTTGGCGGGGGTTGTGAGGGCAGAAGGCCTGGGCCCCGCTCAGTGGCGGACCCTGAGGCTTTTGGGGGGTGCCTCTTCGCAACCAGCAACAAGGCCTGGGTAACCATTGTTATCATCTTCACGGGGGTTGCTCCACGACAGATCACCACGTGTGTGTTTTGTTTTGTTTTTAAAAAGCAACTTTACTACTACATTTCAGATTTTGATTAAAATGGCTGCACTGGGTTGGCTCACATGAAAAAGTCACGTGTGAATTCCCCCCACCCCCAAATGCCTTTATAGTTTTCAAGTTATGAGGAAGATGAAAATTAGGGAAATGTTATATATGTGCGGGAATAAAGTCGCTTTTTTATTCATCCCTCCAGGATTAGGGACCCTGAAGATTTAAGCTTCATTAGTTTCATAATAGATCTGGCCCCATTTAGGGGAATGAGCAGGTGAGGGCCTCAAATACAGCACACTTGGCTCATAGCATTGAGTCACCACATTATCCTGCTATTGAAAAGGGGTGTGGGGTGGTGGTCATAAGACCAAAGTTTAAAATTGCCTAGATCAGGGGTCAGCAAACTTTTTCAGCAGGGGGCCAGTCCACTGTCTCTCAGACCTTGTGGGGGGCCGGACTATATTTTGAAGGGGGAAAAATAAACGGATTCCTATGCCCCACAAATAACCCAGAGATGCATTTTAAATAAAAGGAAACATTCTACTCATGTAAAAACACCAGGCAGGCCCCACAAATAACCCAGAGATGCATTTTAAATAAAAGGACACATTCTACTCATGTAAAAACACTCTGATTCCTGGAACGTCCGTGGGCCGGATTTAGAAGGCGATTGGGCCAGATCCGGCCCCCGGGCCTTAGTTTGCCTACCCATAGCCTAGAAGCATCCCTGACTAGTTATTCTAAACAAGGGGAAGGAGCACCAGCACTGATTTACAGAGCCCCCTCCCCAATACATTTTGTGGCACCCTCTCTCAGCCGCTGATTTTTGAAGGTGTGTGGTTTGAGTAAAATTGGTGGTAGATTGTTTGCAGTTTATGGTTTATTAATCCTCCATCACCAACAATCTGTAATTTTGAGCACTAAATCTGAGAGTAGCTCCTGGACCTTAGGTACACAGCTATAATTTATTGTGAATTGCAGTTATGAGTGTTACTATTAATAGTGCCAAGCATAAATAATAATAGGGATTTTGTTTTGCATTCTGAATACATGGGCCTGACTGTGGAGGATACAGTCAGAATTGTATGGAGTATGAGTGTAAGCTTTGGAAAGTCCTGTTCAAATGCTGCCTCAGCGATAAACTCATTAGGTGACCTCAGCCCCACAGCTCTAATGTGTATAATAATAATAATAATGATAATGATAATAATAATAATAATAATAATAATAAAGTTACGCATGGCATACAAAAGGACAAACAGCAGCCAGTTGTCATAGGTAGTTAAAGGACCAAATATCCAGCTACATGAAAGTAGCTTCATATGCTTGTTCTGATATACCATTCAGAATTATTGAGTTTATCTATGTAGAACACACTGTACAAAGGCTGCTCATATATGCTGCTACTATTAATGGTCTCCTGAGTCCACTAAAAAATTAAAAAGCACAGAGAGTCGCTCAGAAATTTTTATGTTATATGGTGGCACACAAATGTCATTAATAAATAAATATACATTCAAATCACAAACTTCAACATCAGAACATATAATCTCATATATTTACCTAGACATAGATGTTTGGAACTACAGCTCCCACCAGCCCCAACCATCTGGCTAGCTGGGGCTTATGGGAGTTTTAACCCAGAATACCTGGAGGGCACCAGCTTGGCAAAGTCTGGCCTAGAATAACAGATGCAATGGGAAATGCCATTTTCTCTAAAGGTTAGCTTTTCACCCTAGAAAGTAAAGTCCTTGTAGAATACAGTGAGCATCCTTTATGAGTTGTACTTGTGGTCAGATAACTATAATAAAAATGTTACGAACTGTTACGAATGTTACGAAATGTTACTTTGTTACGAACAAATTGAGTGAAAAGTTATTTATGGCAATTAACTTTGACTTAAGAGCCAAAGTTACTTCTTGATTTAATGAGAACTTCATGAACATGTTTAAAACTCTCCCATGAAAAACAGTGGTATATAAAGGGCTCAGTTTCTGTTAGATTGTGCCCTTAAAATAGTCTACTGCCTTCTACTTCTTATGAGGCCTAGATGGGCTCTCTCTTTGCTTCAAAACTGCTGCATTATTTCAGTGATTTTTGAACTGCTAAAATCCTAAGGCTCCAGCTGGATCTGAACACTTCTGGCTCATGAAATCTACATTCTCTCAAGTGACTGAAGATCTAATGGCATGGTAACAAACAAGTCAAACAAGTGAATCTTTCAGAGCATGTGCCAGTTTTTCCTAATCCCAACAGACTCTGTTGGGATTTTGAAATGTTGCCTTCATATTATGCCATTTCCTGTAATCCAGAAAGCTAATCAATGCCTTGAGATGCCACAGAATGTCTTGTCTGTTTTCAAGGATGCTTCCCAAATACAAAATGTCGCTGCTCACATTTTCAAAACAAAGGGATATACTAGCAAAGCTGATCAGAGCTTTATTATGTATTGGTTCTGCAAAAGAAATACATATAAAGCAAAGGAGATGGATAGCATTATTCACACAAAACAAGCAAGGAAGTGAAAGAAGCAAGCTGTTGGGCTGTAAAGAATTCTTCAGGCTGATGTGCATTATTAAAATGAGGATTCAGGAGCACTTCTAAACTGCTAGCTTGCTGTGTCAGGGGAGTGCAACCTCATATAAAATAGGCTGAACACCATCTCCCTGGACATAACCAGGACATGCCCACAGCACCTCCATCTTGTCATGATTCAACTGTAGTTTATTGGCACACATTCAGCCAGCCTTTGCTTTTTCTTATATGATTCTGCCAAGACACGCTGTCTAAACACAGTTCAATTACATTCTGTTTAGTATAACTTTCCATACAGATGAAACATCAACAGAGTAACATGCCATCACCTTCCATTGGGGGCATTCTTCTTTGGAGATCCTTCCAAAGTAATTGTAAAGGCCAGCTCCTTCTGAACATCCCCAAAATTATGTAAGGAGGTTTTGGTTTGGTTCCATTTATGAACTTCTGGAGTACACAACTGCCAAGGTCAAGATTAACTGAAGCTACTCTGATGCTGAAGTAACCATGGGAGGGCAATCACACAGGCATGTCTCTGGATTAAATATAGGATGGGACTGACACCTCCAAAGATCCCCTGATGCTTGTTGAAGTAGTGCAATCATGAGCTATAAAATAAAATCAGGTACAATGTTTTGTTATGTTTCATACTTTCCTCTGAATATCTTATTTTGAGCACATTCTATGCAACCTACTGGGAAAATGGGTAGTCAAACCTTTTCAGTCTCATCCTCATAATGCAGCCAATTATATATATTTTTTTCTTTCAGATGCCTATCAATGTCCAATAGCCTCTAGCACCTTAAGAATTACAGTAAACAGTATCTGAAAAACTAGGCATTGTGCCCAGGTAAATTTCAAATATGGAACAAAAGCCAAGGAGAGGAAATGAAAATGCCAACAACAACAACAACAAATTGAAAAAGTACTCTCAAACCACATTAATAATAAAAAAGAAATCCAAAGCAGATTTTCCTCCTTTTATAGCTTATATGAAATCACATAAAAGGATTTTTATTAAAACTTCAAATAGTAAAAAGCAGAATTACAGACTTCCACATATTGTAACATCTTCAGAGTCCATGAATTTCTTTAATAAGCAGAATGGAGGCCTCCAAACAGAGCAGGCAATGGGGGAAAGAGCCTTTTAAACTTTTAGGTATAAAATGTCTTTAATAAAACTAATAATTTAAATGACTTATTTGTCAACCAGCTGTAATTGGGTGATGTGCTATTTAAAAGATTCAGGAAGTGTCAAATCACCTTTCGGATTTATGTAAAACGTGCAATGAACTTTTGGGTTACAATGTGTGTTAATCAGTAGTTCCTGTGAAAGCAAATTCAGGGTCGTAAAACCAAAAATTAGATTGCAGAGAGCTCTAAAAGGATCTTGCCAAGCTGGGGGTTGGTTTCAGACTTCATTCCTGCCACTGAGCATCACCTGAGCAGAGTTTTGCTCCCAGGATGCTCTTGCCAGTGCTTTTGCCAATTCCCTCCTCTCGTTGGAGCCTCCACCAGCCAACTAGTGCCCTCTCACACAGTTCCAGAGGATCAGGGAACCTACCTGAATAGTGCGGGAGGTGGTGCTGGAGACTACAGCACTGGAACAGGGAAGAATAGGGAAGGAGCCTTTATATCCATCTAGGGAAGGCAAAGTCTGGATCCTGAGCAAATGGGCAGTAAAGGTGTGGTTCAATGGCACAGGAATGCAGATGCCAGACTCTTCAATTCAGTAGTTGGGGCACTA